CACACAATCCTGTAGAACAAAAGAACCCTAGGATCCAACACTTTATGTACAAACTCTGAATATTTCTTGTTTTAAATCCTATCATTAATGATTATTTGACGAGCGACTAAGAGTGACAAATCCACAACAAAGCCAGAGCATTACAGACGTTATAACAACACAGAGAGAGTAGCTGTCACTCAGCAGGGCACAGCTCACCTGAGCAAGTCTGACCCTCAGGGTGTGTGTGAAACTCAACTCATTCCTCAGCCACGATTCCCATAACTGAGATGCTATGACTCCCACAATAGCGCTGCGAATTGCTAAAAAGGCTGTTTGGTTGACTTAACACAATGGCTGAACCTAACACAGCTTGACATCTGTCATCTATAGATACAGTAGTCAAAAAAGAGGCACAGTGTAGTCAGGGCTGACAAAAATCCGTGGAAATAAAACGCGCATAAAAGTGGAAAGGGCAGCTACGAAACATTTCACACAACCAAAACCAAAACTTCTGCGACATACTAAGAGACTAAACACCAGTGCTGATTAAATTACTCTAAAGCTTAGTAATGTGTTATTGTTTTTTATTAATCTGAACGAGTCAGCTTCAAGTCACACAGGTCAGTTTTCAATTATAGACTTAACCATAGTAATATTCACATATCCTTTACAACAGTTACCATGGCACTCACATGGTTTGGGAATGTCTAAACTAAGCTATGAGGACCATTAAGTTAAAGGTAACTACAGTGTTTTTCATGTCAAAAGGATTTGAGTGAACATTTGAGATGATAGTTAATAAATTAGTTAAGTTCGTTATAAGTGACTGATGCATTGTCTCATATTGTTAAGATTCGTGGGAAGGACACAAAATGCTAGCTCCACCTTATCATTTCTATGGAAGGAATGTTTTAATCATGTTTTAATTACATTTTCTCTTTGGGTAAAAGGAGGTCAACAGATACGTTAGCAGTTGATAACTAAAGGGGATGAAATGGCTGAATGGTTCTCGAGTCATTATAACAAAAGCCATATTTTAACAGTGCCTTCTGATGTGCTCTGACATGTTGCAATTTATTGCACAATGTTAAAAGTTGGTCCAGTTACTGGAGCCACTGAGATTAGCCAACTAAAATAAGATTAATGGTAGAAGTTCAATTCAATTTTATTTATACAGCGCCAAATCACAACAACAGTCGCCTCAAGGCGGTTTATATTGTAAGGTAGACCCTACAATAATACATACAGAGAAAAACCCAACAATCAGATGACCCTCTATGAGCAAGCACTTTGGTGACAGTGGGAAGAAAAAACTCCCTTTTAACAGGAAGAAACCTCTGGCAGTCTTCAACTTATCCCAACCAATGAAGCACGGCTTTAGCTTGAAACGATGTCCTTAATGTCAAAAGCGTGACTCTCACAAAAAACTGTACATTTGAGAATTCGGTTGGTATACTTGGAAGTGCTCCCCAGGCCACAGTACCTCCTTTAAATAAAAATATGAAGTCATCTATATACAGTGGAAACTATAGATAGTAGCAAACTGGTTAGTTTAGTCAACAGCAGTTTTGCACAACTTTCCTAGCTACTGTTAAACAGCATTACAAGGAAACACGAGCATATGTTTCCATTTGAAAGAGCAAATGGTCCATAATGAACCAAGTAGTTATTGAAAGAACAAAGAAATAAAGTCTTTTCTCCATCTTTAAGGATCAGAGGCTGATGTTTTTGTTTCCTGCGAACAGACTGTCTGATTCCGCTCAAGCTTTACCTCGTCTTTAATGTCCTCTTGCTGTTGTGCTGTGAAGATCTCCATTGCTCCCATTAACCTCATCATCAGCTCATCCACTGTTGTATTGCCTGAATTAGAAAAGAAAATCAGAGGGCAATAAAAGAGTTTGTTTTCATGATAATTACAGAAAACAGAGTTAATTGTACGATGAATAAAATGAGAATTACCTTGAATAACATTTAGAACTTCATTGGATGTGCGTTTCCCCATGACTATGAGGAGCAGGGGGAACTGGTCTGTCGTGTATGTCCGTATGGTCTGTGTCACCACACTGCCAAAGTGCCTCGTACACATAGTGAGTAGTCTGGAAGACAAAGACATTTATCTAATTCACTTTCCCCCCCAATTTATTTACTTTACCTGCTTGTTCCTTTGGTAATAAGCATATATTTAAGCCTGCAATAAAAACAATTTTAAAGAGCGATAAAGTATTCGTGCACATATTTTCACTGGGAGGTGCGTGCTTTTCAGATTGCAGCACAAAAGAGAAATACACACAACTTGTGGCATTAAAGACTTTAAAACCAATTCTGCATTTTCTTATTCCATCAGGGCGACATGCTATCTCAATTGGAACCACAGATGAATTAGTATTCCTCACCAGACACCCAGAATTGATAGGGCAAGAGAGGATTTCTTATTCCATTACAAAGACAGAACTTTTTAAATTAACATTTCAGAGAGGGAAAAGGGTAGCAGGCAGTCGGAGCCCCGCCAAGCTCCCTGTAAATGTCATAATATTAATGAATTGCTATAGACTGAATGCAAATATAGATTAGCTTTTTCTCCTGCCTTTTAATAAGATCTACTTTAATAACTGCCTGGTAAAATAGAGAGGTAATGGAATGGATGGCGGGACAGCGGGTCAGAGGAAGAAGATAGATAGAGCGGATGCTGTCTGAGAGGGGGTGTAACTCATTAAAAGATGAAGCCAAAGCTGCGGGAGCTACTTGCAGACTTTCCAAACGGTGAAATCGAGTACTTCCAGTCAATAGGACAATAGCAGTAGTAGTAATAATCATGCCAAAACCAGCTAAAGTGTGGACGTTGGACTGAAAGATGAATGAAATGAGCTTTGGAATACAATGCAGACAAAAACTTTTTCCAAATGTTGAACTTTGTGTGACCCACACCTTGCAATGAAAAACGTGGGTACCCTAAATCTTAGATCATTTTGTTCTGACATTTGTCCCTGTTCAGACCTCAACCCAGCCACAATATAACAAAAGCTCACAGGGAAACTCTAACCTGTAATGAAAGGCCAGGGAACAATAGACACTAACTTGAAGGGTAACCCAATCTTAAACCTCTAATCAAGCACAGGCTAACCTGCTTTGGTTTCTAACTCTAAACTAAGGAAGTCAGTGCAGCACAATGATGATCATAATCACAACAACATAAAAACAGCACAATCTCAAAACACAACTTACATGTACTTTGTAACCACTATCGTTCAGGGTAAAACGGACACCGAAACTAGGAAACAGGAAGAACTACGAAGCCCTTATGGAATTACGTAAAGAAGAATAAGTATGGCCACAACACTTAATGTCAGGAGGAAGTCACTCCAGGAAATGAGCTGCACAGTTCGGCCTGTCTCATCTAGCCCTAATATAACATGGTAACCTGCGGCCTTTAAAAACCTTTATGGCTAACTAAATGCAGAAGAAACACCTGCATGGAATTTGCAACTACCATTAAATGCTTCGGTGGCTAATGTGACTGACAGATTCTAATTTGTTGCCCATCCCAGCTTATTTTCTCACTGCGGATCCCGACAGCTATAACAGTAAATGTTTTCCTGGACTGTCAGCTTGCACTTCTTCAAATCAAACTGATGCACTATGATGCGAGTAGACCGGTTAGACCTGGCGTCTGCTCCACTGAGCAGCTGATGAGTCAGGGTAGTACAGTAGCACTGCAGGGAATATTTTTGCCAGCCACCTGTACGTGTGCAGTATGGGAACCGGATGCTCCGATAGCTCACTGTGTCATACACACTTTGTTTCAGAGTGAACATGGACATGTTTTGATTTGAAAGTGACATTTTGTTCTCCCACCAAACGAGTTATGTTTTCAGGGAAGACTATGTCAAGAGAAGAAGTCAAGTGTACAGAACAGGTTCGCACAACGGTCTGTTCCCGCCTTGAGCAGTTAAGACACAAGTTTACACTTAAAGGCTAGTAAATATGTAAATATGTAAGAATATGTTTCTGTATGTTTCTGTTCTGTGTCCTGTGTACTGTTTGTTTGTATATGTGTCTTTTTGGCTGCTGTTACAACCAAATTCCCCCTTGTGGGACAATTAAAGGATTATTCTATTTTATTCTCTAATAAGATCGCCTGTATTGCTACAGACCAAACGGGTAATCGCATTAGACTGCCAGGTCTGTATAATGTTTAAAACACTAAATCTAGTGTCAACATAAGGTCACCTTAGTGCATATTCTTACACTGTAATGTATTATGAGAATGCGCACACAACACAAATAATCGATTTTCAATGTGTTTATTTACTTACATGTGCAATGACAGTATACCGACTGGGCGATATATCAGATTCATTTCCCACGAGTGACAATTACACTGGCATCCAATCACCAGCACTGCATTTATGCATAATTAATCATTTAACTGGTAGGCCTGTGAGAATAGATTAAGCTAAGCAACAGGCACATTCCAATATCAGCAGGTTTATCACTCGCTCACAGACACACACAAATGCACGCACACATAATCAGGATACCTTTCTAACAGCTTGTGTGACTGATGCCAATCACCAGTCACTTTAGATCAGCTAAAGAGCGTGAGAATGCCGAGCAGCAGTTGGATGTGTGAGCGAGTTAGTGCGCACATGTGCATGCATGCGTTAGCAGCAAAGCTGCGACTAGCTGTGTGTGATGAAAAGCTCCAGATGTTGCCTCCTTTTTAACGTGCAATAAAAAGGCCCAGCTGGGGCAAAAAGCAAAGGAGGCCAATGGGAGAGAAAGGAGTGCGGAATGAGGAAAGGAGGGAGTTTCCTTAAAAGAAATAATGGAGAGCTGAGGTCAGGGTGCGAGTCTTTCTCAATGACTGCTACCAGAGGGCAGGCTTAACTCTGGAGGTTCAGGGTAGAGTGAGAGAGCTGAGGTAGCTGATTAAATAGAAGAGAAATAAAGAAATATCAGAAAGGAAACAAGTAAAATATGTAGTATTAAAGATGAAGGGAAGGATGAAATACATGAAGCATTCCTTGTTTACAATGTGAAACAAAGGTTCAAATTTACCTAAACCTCTCCTCTGTTCAACACTTGAACCTGCAAGAGATCTAATAGTCTGTTAAAAATATACATCTCACTCACTGAACCAATGTAATAAACAGGTGTTGTTGTAAAATACCAACACAGGGTGCTGGAGCTAAGCTAGGACTTTCAGGATAAATTGGAGAGATAGAGATGTTTGGACTCCAACGGAGTCCTTCATCTCCCACTGACCCTCTATTCAGACAGTTTGGTCAAGATTGCCCAATCAGGGGCCTCACCGTGCAAACACAACGCCTTTTGTTAGCATGCAACCTCCAAGCTTCAAAAAGAAAATGAGGCTGAAGAGAGAATGAGAAGAAAGAGATACAGAGTACGAGTAATGGAGTGAAAGATGAATGCCAGCAATTACGGATGTGTCAAACCGATTTTTAAACACTGTTCATTTGCCAGATAGGATTCCACCTACACTAGCATTTCTGGATTATTATCTAAACGCTACCCAAAATATGCAGGATTCACTCTCTAAAGTCCAAGATTTTCTTGCTTCACAAAAAAAATAAATAAATACAACAGCAGGATGAAGGCACGACTGAAAACTAAATTTACTTTCTCTAAGAAAACTATTCAGAACAATAATGCGGGGACAAGATAGTAGCATGCAACAGACTGCTTCCCAACCAGAGGACTCTGACAGCTCACAAAGCCCTCAGCTCATGATCAAGCTTCTCTCCCGCTGAAATACATTCAATATCCTCTTTATTAGATACACCTCAGTATTTATGCAGACAGTCGGCTCCTGCGGACAATAAGTCACATATAAATAAAACATAAGGATTAAGGATGCAGTCAGGGCTTAAAGGTTCTCTTATTGCATTACTAAACTTTACAGCTGGCTAAAGCAATTCTAAATACAGCATGATTCTGATAGACTACCGGATCTCCAGAGAATTAATTCAGTGTTTAAAACCTTTGTTTTTTTTTTATTACCGTTTAGCCATCATTCTCACTGACCAAACAGTTTTCTCCCCTAGCTATAGCATCACAGTCAGATTTGGCAACCAGAAAACACAGCCAGATTTAGCTTTGCAACAGAATTCACGAGTAGCTGCAGTTTCTACAATTTAAATATTTGATCTGACAACTCAAAGGTCGTAAGATGAGCTTAAAACTTTATTTACACAAATGAATTACGCAAAAATGGACTCATTAAACAATAGGATTCTTGGAATAAGATACGTCTTCAATCGCACTCCAAGCGTGCTGGTTGACTGACATTGTACCTGGATTTGTTAGCTTCTTTAGTGACATCCCATGCCCATGTGATGAAGTTCTGGCTCAGGTAAGAGACGATTGAGTCAGCGCACATCATTTGGGAGCAGAAGACGTTGCTGAGAACACTGTCATCATTGTGGAGGTAGATAGCCAGCAGCTTTCTCTGTGGAGAGAAACAGTTTGAAAATCAGAGTGGGAGCAAACTGCACCTCTTACTGTGCTAGGACATTTGGTAAGGCAAAGGGTCACTGCAGCTGATCCTTTATTTTTGTCTTCAATCAGTTGTTCAGTGGCTAATAGGTGGAACCAAACACCAAAGTATACAGTTGACTTTGTGGAAGAAGTTTGACTAGCTAAAACTCATCACTCCCCAATATAATAAATGTCATATCTGTGATCGGTGCTGCTCTGTCAGCCATGCACTAGGCGTCTCATTATTGGAGAGACATGTCCATATTACATGAACATAACATGACCACCGGCAGAGAGGACTGGGCGCAGAGCTAGCAGGACTTCTAAAGACCACGGTAGGACCACAACTGGCAAAAAAGCAAATACCACGCAAAATAAAATGGAGAGCGGTGTAAATAAAACTTTGCTTGGAGGCGACAAAGATATGGAGAAAACAAAACAGACAAATCACTCTATTTATTTTACACCAAATGCCAGCAGCCTGTTCAGGTTAGTAGCGGCAGGGCCAGACAATATTGACGAAGCTCCAAATCCAAGGATATTGACACCATCATATAAGCCTGGTAGATTCTCCCTACTGACAATCTAATTAAAAAACAAACACACCCACAAACATAAAAGGTTCCAGGGGACAATGTTGGAAATAATGCTCTTTAAATTACATGTCACTTCTCTTGCTATAAAAGAACAAATAAGAAAAACTCGCACTCTCTGCTTAGTTCATTTTTACCCACGGCTGTGAAAGGGGAGTTAAGGGGTCTGTTCCTCGGGAACAGTAATCTAGGCTACGTGCGCCAAAAAGCGAAAAATCTACACAGGGCGTAAAACGTGAGGAGAAGGGAAAGAAGAAGTTGTGCTATACTGTGGCCTGTGTAGAATAGGAATGGGAGAGCACTGCTGTGTTTGCTCAACGATTAGTGCTTTAGAATAATCTCCAGGGCTCCTAGAGAGAAGGAGCTGGGGACTCATTCACTAGGCCGATTCAACAGCCTGAAAAGATTAAACACTCATGCTGAGAAGACAAGCAAATTCAGTCTTGAGAGAGGAATGAGTGTGAGGAGAGGGAGAGTTTTACAGCGTGAAAAAAAACCAACAAAAAAACAAAACCCAGATACACACTCGAACGCCGACGTCCCCGACACACACGCACAGATGCGCAAACTTAACTCCGCTGCCCGCGAGTAACGGGACTCATGCTCGCACACATGCATGCTCAATTAGAGCAAGTGTAAAGACTAATCAAAGTGGGCATTTTGGCAAACTGAACTCCTTCATCTTAGTTAAACTGTCCGTACCCCTCTGTTCCCTCTCCGCTTTCAACTCAGATCTTTTGTATTGCCTGTCTTAGCGGGGAGGAGCAAATCCCTCAGTTCAGCTAAATTACTAGGTCCAACCTGAGCTAGATAGTGACCCCATAGCCCTTCCTCACACCTGTTCACCTAAAGCTAAGCTTGCTTTGAGGCTGTGAGAGAAACAAAAGAGTTCACACACTGTAGAATAGCGTTGCGCTTCATTTGCTGTTTAATCAGTGCACCTCTTTCTTGGAAGACGGCCCAGCAGAAAGTTTGAAAATATGAAATATGTGCGTCTATAAATATGAAAAAAAGCATGTGTTCTCGTAATGAGGCGGTCCTTTGAATGAGGCACTTTTTAACCATCGTTTTAAAACAAAAAC